ATCACCATTTACTGCAAAGATCTAAATCGACACTTTCATAAATTGAACAAGTTCATGTATTGCTTGATAGATGATTATTACTAAGCAAACAAATAACATTGTACTAAATTCCCTGAGATATTTCTATAACAGCATATTTGTATATATTTGTACAGTATATAAACAGCATGTAGCACATTTTACAAGGATCTAAATGTAATAATAGGTTATTGTCAATTGCAGATATTTACTTACCTTTGATTTCGAGATTATATACATCACTCTTACTTCCATGCCCCTGGCACGCATATGGGCCTTGTGCACTACTAGATTTTATGGTGAAGATATAGTTTTGTTGTGTTTGATCTGGGATTACAATATCATTGAAATACCATGTGACGTCGCCTCCTTCTGAGCAGGTGAGCACTATGGTGTCTCCCAAGTGTACAGGTGAAAATTGCTCCTTTATGCTCACTGTGGGAAAGGGAAGATGAAGACCCACAAATATATACCAGCTTCTCATTACTCGACAAACATATTTAAACAGAAGAGAACTACACTAAGAATATACATGCAGTATTTCAATAGGAATTATTTTAAATGCTTAAGCATTCCCCAAGAATTGCATATTTTAAGAGCATTAATGTAATTAATGAAGATTTTTAAAGTTATTAGTTCAGAGCAAGAATTAGCTAATACCAAATATTTCCATATCAAATTCTAAAATAGAAGTAAAATTTCAACTGATATTTCATTTCACTAAGTTAACTAAGTTAGCTAGAAAACAAAGTGCCAAACAGAGGAGAGATGTCACCCCTTCTGGTTGCAGGCACTCGAGGGATGATTACAAAACACACCAGATAATGCCCGGAAAACAGAGCAATAACTGAAATTCTCCTGGGGCCTGAATCACAAAGCTGGATTTTTGGGTTAGAAAGATAACATGTCAGATAATACAATACAGCCTTCATGTACAAAGGTTGGCTTAGCAAAGAAGCCCAACTGGAGGGTCAGAGAAGGCGAGCTAACATTGCCCAGAAGGTCAGTGTCATTTAGGAGTTCACAGGGCAACTAGCTAAATGATGAATCATGGCATCTTACAAATGCAACATGCATCTAACAAAAAGCTACAGACTGACACCATTGATGCATATTCATATACAGCTCTGGGAAAAATTAAAAGACCACATCACAATTTTTGTTTTACTCATTTCTCAATTAATGACTGTGCATCTATGCAAAATATACATTTTTTTTTGCAAACTCCAGCCGACTCTTCCTTGTTTCTCATTAATTAAGGGCTTCTTCCTTGCTTTATGGGTCTTCAGTCCTGCTTCTAGGAGCCTGATGTGAACTGTCCTAGCAGTGCACCTCACACACAAAAATGGAGTGGTCTCTTGTCTTGTATATATTATACTGTATATTCATTTTCATTGCTTTCTGCCTTAGTATACTTGAGTATTCTGGGAGATTCTGTACTCTTACTGGATTGCATTTACTTGGTTTTAATATTTTTCTTAGATGTGATGGAAAACACACAAAATAAGTATGTATTTTTTTAATTACCTGTTGGCTTAGAACCCAGTGAAAATGGCAAAATAGCACCAAACACTGTAAGAAAAAAAAACATTACAATTAACCTCACAAATTGAGTTAACTCATCTAAAATCATCAAATTCCCAAGATGATAAAATCATTGCTGGCTTAATTTTATACAGTTAAAAATAACAAGTTAAATCAAACATCATGGTCACTAACAGTTCAGTTAACCCTTTGAACCCTGTCCATTTTTGAGCATTTTTCTATCCCTTTGATTTTAGGCTTATTACATTGCTTGTACATGAGTTAGTCAGATGTACTTTATGTTTTTATTTTCAGGACATTCTGGGCTACTCAGATATCTCATAATTTGATGTGCAAATGCTGACACAGTCTTTATCATCCTTCTTATGAGGAAAACCTACCTGCGCTTATTGAAATTCTAGTCTCACCTAATATAAAAAATTGCAGGCGCTACAAATATAATCTTATAAATGTTGAGATTAGAGTCTGAATGATGTGGGAATGCAGGAGTTTCATTGGGAGCCTTTATGGTTAGTGCCAGGTGAAAATGAATATCTTTAAGTTTACAGCCATTTGGTGACATGTTGAAGTTATCTGATAGACAGCAATGCATGCTTATACTGTATATGTGTGTGTGTGTGTATATATATATATTTATTTTGTTGTTATTCTGTTGTACAGTAATGTCACATGTAGTGTTTAATGTTATCTGTTGTAAGCGATGTATGTGTATGCACCCACCATGTGGCAAGTAAGTAGTCAGCGTGGCCAGCACAATGGATAGTGTGTGTGGGTTATGAGAGTGACTGCCATATGTCAGTAAACATCATTTTTATACTTTCTCGCTCTTGTCTGGGACTCATTATTTTCCTGTGATCACCATGTCTGGCATCTGCATCTCTGTAAATTCAGCTTGATAACAGGTATGTACCCCATTAAATTTAAATGGAATAGACAAAGCACCTACAGGTTGTGTAAGCTAAGAAGCACTTCTTTTATTTGCTTTGGCAGACTTCATAAATCATGCATACAGTTTTTCTCAATTGCTTTGGCACATTTGTCAAATGACAAATTAACATTCGCAGAAAAACACATGTAATCCTCACACCAAAATGTCACTTGTGCACAAAGGAACATCACTTCTCATCGCTTCAAAAAAAAATTCAAATGTTTTAGTACTGTTGCGGGAGAATAGAATTAATCGCGGGACTCCGGCAAAATGGAATTCTCTTAAAATTAATTTATTAAAAACAAGTACTCTATTATTTATCTACTGTACAAAAGCAACAAGAACGACTAAATTAAAGGCTAACGCTCTGAAGCAGTATTAGGCCAAATGCTTTTCTGTTTGACCACTTGAGAAATCAACGTTTATTATTATTTTGTTTCATTGCAATATTATTAGCCTATTTCTAACTGTTCTGAGTGTATTTCTATGTTCTGAAAAGCTTCTCGTTCGTGTCCATGTTCATCATTCCATTTAATTACACTCAAATAAAACGAAACATATTTGTTTATTTTCCGTTTCTTTTTTATATACACTCAAAAGGGAAGCAAGTGAAACAAATAACAGAGTAGCGGGAAGAAGTGGTAAAAATAAAACTACTTATATGTTTACCTGCGGGATTTTGCGGGCGGGAGCGGGACAAAACTTGAATACTGCGGGCGGGAGCTGGAGAAAATAATATATATTTTTTTGCGGGAGCGGGCGGGAACGGGACAGAATCTTGCGGGAGCCGGCAGGAGCGAGACTGAAAAATTCGTCCCGCGCAGGTCTCTAGATCACAACCCTAATTATTAAACACATTAAAAATTTTCAGACGTCTTCTATAATGTTGAAATGTCATTGGCTGTTGCTTGGCGCGCCTGCTGCTTTGGTTTGACTACTCGATGGTAGCCCCCCCGTCGTTAACATGGCACGCGGACTAACGAGAAAATATATAATTGGCACTCCATGTCAAAAAGGTTGCCGACCCCTGGTCTATTCCTTTGTCTGTGATTACAGTGAACTCTCATTAATGCCTTATTTTACAACCAAAGTGAAATATGTTTTTATCTGAAGCAAAAGACAGTCTGAGGCAGTTGGACGTCTTGTAATATCTTAATTATTTTCAATATATTATTTATACACTTTTTTATTATTTGAGGAGCGCTATTTCAAAAGTCAATCCAGGCTTTCGTCCTGTGGTGTGTTGGCGACTGCCCAGAGTTGGTCCACGCCTGCGCTCACTGTTCCTGGTATAGGCTCCGGTACCCCCCGCGTCCCCAACTGCGGTCACGCTATCCGTGCTTTGTCGAAACATGGTCAAATCATCCGCGCTTAAAATGTGAGGTGCACGCATAGACATGACATTACGGCATCAGCCGTACGGTTTAGGAAAATAAAAGCGATCGCGCATAGGA